TGCACATCCTTCTAGTTGCTGTATGTGGGACACCACCTCAGCATGGCCGGAGAAGCCGTGCATTGGTGAGCGCCCAGGGTCTGAACCCAGGCCACCAGTAGCGGAGCACAGGCACTTAACCGCTAAGCCACTGGCCGACCCTCTTTATCCTTTTAGTATGGCCAAGATCAGCCTCTTTTCTTCTTCCACCCTGATCATTTTCACTTGCTATCTCCTCTAAATGACATTTCTTTTCTTCCTCTTAAATTAATCTTAAATTACTTTTCATCACCAATCTCCTGTAGGCCAACAAAGCAGGAGGCTAGCCGTTCCCTAGCCCTAAAACCAGGCCTTTTATCCCCGTAGTCACCTGAAATATTTGCTAAACATCTCACTTCCCAACACCAGGGGGTGTCTGTCTATCCCTCTATCTGTCCTACCCTGAAGGTAGAGATTAGTCCCAAACCTTTTCCTCACTCCTTTTACATAGACGCTCAAGCTCCCTCTCTCCCTCCCTCCCATCACAGAGCTTTGGGTTCAGAAAATGGTTTCTTTTTAATCGCAGTTTATCTGTTTGTCTTTCATTCTCTCTGGACTTGCATATATTTGTCTTTTTCTTACTATTCCTCCTTCTGTCTCCACACCACCCACGACCCCTTTTGCTGGGGCTCTCCCTTTCTTTCGCTACCTGTCTTCCACCACGTCTCTGTAGGGGCTTCCTCGCCTGTCTGGGCTCTTTATGTACACGTCTCTGAACCTCTTTATGTACGTACCTTTCTTCTTTCTCCCTGTCTTCCTTTTTATGGATCTCTCCCTGTCTCACTACTTCTGTATCAGTCTTTCTCCATCTCTCCCACAGTCCCCACACTAAGAACAAAGTCACAGTATTTGCGGAGAACAAGCCTCGCGTCGCCCCGTCCAGGACTGCGACATTCCACCGTGCCCCTCCGCGCCCCTGCGCGCATTCCAACTGCAAACAAAGAGTTCCCCTCCCCCACCCCACTTTTTCCTGCCCCAATTCTTGAGTAACGTAGCGGCAGCTGCCCAAACTGCTCCTCGCCCTCCTCTCGCCTCCAGTCGCAGGATCTCCACCTCCAGGGCAGTTAGCACCAGCACCAGCACCAGCACCACCACCCCACGCCACCCCCTCCCACTGCCAGGCGCACCAGAGATCCCTGCGCAGACACCCCCGTTCCTCTCGCACTCGGCGCTCCGCCCTCCAGGAAAGTAGATCCGGCCAGGCAGACAAAAGTTTGGGAGAGAAGTTGGGTCGGTGCTGAGTGTGAGTGCGAGGGGGGCGGGGGCCGGCGAGAGTGGGGCTGCTCGGCGAGTCGACGCGTGAACAGATAGACCTGCGGACGGGACAGTCGCGGCCGCAGGAGCTTCTAGCCCCGCTTAACCCCTGATGCGCGGGGGGCCGCAGCTTCTCTCGCTGGGGGATGCTGCGAGATTCTTGGCGCCGGGCATCCGGGCCGCCCGCTAAACCCGTGTGCCTACTCTGTGCCCCTGGCGAACCGGAGTCCGGCCGCAGGGAAAGAGAAGCGGCCAGTGAGACGCTGCAGGGTGCCGGGCGGGGAGGGGGCTGGAGGCCCCAGGCCCGAGGGCATGGAGCGATTAGGAGAGAAAGCCAGTCGCCTGCTGGAGAAGTTAAGGCTCTCGGACTCCGGCAGCGCCAAGTTCGGCCGCAGAAAGGGTGAATCTAGCCGGTCTGGGTCTGATGGGACCCCTGGGCCGGGCAAGGGGCGACTGAGTGGGCTGGGGGGACCTAGGAAATCTGGGCCCCGTGGAGCTACTGGAGGACCTGGGGATGAGCCGTTGGAGCCAACCCGGGAGCAAGGCCCCCTGGACGCAGAGCGGAACCCGCGCGGCTCCTTTGAGGCGCAGCGCTACGAAGGCTCCTTCCCCGGGGGGCCGCCTCCCAACCGGGCCTTGCCTCTACCTCAGTCATTGCCCCCTGACTTTCGGCTGGAGACTACGGCCCCAGCCCTAAGCCCTCGCTCCAGTTTCGCCAGTAGCTCAGCCAGCGACGCGAGCAAGCCGTCCAGCCCCCGGTGCAGCCTGCTGCTGGACGGGGCGGGGGCTGGCGGAGCCGGAGGTAGCCGACCCTGCAGCAATCGTACCAGCGGCATCAGCATGGGCTACGACCAGCGCCACGGCAGTCCCTTGCCCGCCGGGCCATGCCTGTTTGGCCCACCCCTGCCCGGGGCTCCGGCGGGCTATTCTCCTGGAGGGGTGCCGTCCGCCTACCCGGAGCTCCACGCTGCCCTGGACCGACTGTGCGCTCATCGGCCCGCGGGGTTCGGCTGCCAGGAAAGCCGCCACTCGTATCCCCCGGCCCTTGGCAGCCCCGGAGCTCTAGCCGGGGCCGGAGTGGGAGCCGCAGGGCCCTTGGAGAGACGAGGGGCGCAACCCGGACGACACTCAGTGACCGGCTACGGGGACTGCGCCGCGGGCGCCCGATACCAGGATGAGCTAACAGCGTTGCTGCGCCTGACGGTGGGCACGGGTGGGCGAGAAGCCGGCGCCCGCGGGGAACCGTCGGGGATTGAGCCGTCGGGTCTGGAGGAGCTGCCGGGTCCGTTCGTTCCCGAGGCCGCCCGGGCCCGAATGCGGGAGCCGGAGGCCAGAGAGGACTACTTCGGTGAGTGAGAGAAGTGGTTAGGGACGGGAAGGGGCCCGCCACCGCATTCGGTCCGCACTGCCCCGACAGCTCAAATTGCCGGCGCCGGGAGATCGGAGGCGGAGACGCGGGGCTAGAAAAGAGGCAAGAGGGATTTCCCCTTCCCACTGGGTTTCAGATGAACCAGGGGCTCCTTATTCTCGCTAAATTCAAGCCCCCTGATTATCTCCTAAGTCCCAGTTCCTCAAGTTTTAGAGCCTCGGTTTTTCGCGGTAGGAGGCCTCATAGGGAGGGGACCAAATGGGGCAATGAGAGCATCCCCCATCTTGCAGGCGGCAGTGCCCCTGCAGGCTTCTGCGCACCGCGCCCCCACCCGGGCCTAGGCTCCGCCCGCAGGAATTCGGGGAATGCGCGGGAGGAGGGGCGGGGCGGGCAGGCCGCGTGCGTGCCGGCTCCTGCCCCGGCGCTCCAGGTGCCCGCGGGCGGGGCCGGCTGCGCGGCGCTGGGGAGAAGGGTGGGGTGCGGGGCGAGGCGGGGGGGCTGCTTCCTAACCCGCGCGGAACTGTGGCCGCGGTGGGGGAAGTGGATCCTGGGGAAGGAGGATGAAGTCGCCTGGGACTGAAAGCAGGGACCCTACTGCTGGCTCGCCCCAGTCCTGCTGGCTCGGTGCATGCATGGGGCATTTTATCGGAGACCTGGTGGTGTCAGCTTCTTTTTTCCCCATTCTCCGGAAGTCAGAGCAGAAGCCACGACCACCGGGACATCATCACCCCTGGATGGATAACGACCATAGGGTCGTAACTGCCAGAAGTACCTGGCTTTCAGTTCTGGCCATAACCTACTTAGGATTCAGGCTAGTCTAGCTCCTTACTTTCTGCTGCTGTTAAGGAAACGTGGTAATTGTCTCTCCCCCATGAGGTTACCTTTAAGAAGTATTCATTGATTATATGTTTTAGCTGGGGGGGATACTGGGGTGTCGAACGATCTTTTAGCCAAGACCCACAGGACCATTTCACTATATAAAGAAATGCTAGTCTGATTGTGATAGGAAGAACAGAAGTAGAAGGCTCACCCCTAGGGCTGTGGGCCCCTTCGGTTTTCCAAGCATCTCCTCACCTTTCTCACCATCCTTGTTCCTGCCCTGGACCCCATGCTCTAGACCTCTGTGGCTATAAGCTTGAGTAGGGAGAGGAACCTAGCTATAAACGTGAGTAGGGAGGAGATTCAGAGGCAGCAGGAGAAGGAACCTGCTTAGTTTAACCCCAACCCTTCCACCTTTTCCCCCCTACCCTGAGAGAGGAAAGCCCACAGCAGGTAATGCTTTGGTCAAGGGAGACTAAGTGACAGGATCCTTTTAGCAGTTTCGTTTTGAGGCCCAGGAGAAGTAGCTGTTGGATGGAAAGAAGTCTCCTTGGCTAAGCCATCAGAGCCAAAAGGAAGAAAGGAGCTCAGAGAGAGTGCAATAAAATGGCAGGAAGAACCTAGGTGTGGATATGCTGGGTTAGAGGAGGTTAGGTGGCCATGCCTGAGCAGTTTGCTTTTGTCTTCCCATAATCACCAAGGCTTCCCAAAGAAATAGCTCTGACAGGGCCCCCTGGCATGGCAATTTTGGGGCAGATCTCCCCTCCCATGGAGGCCACATTTTGACCCCAGAGGTGGGGGACTCCTCTTCCGGGGGGTCAGATTGCCTTCTCTGACAGAACCCTCCTCCTGACTGTACCCTCCTACTCCTGCCCCTGGTAGGGGCCCTTTTCCTTGGCTACAGCCTTGCCCAGCTGCCAGAGGGTGGGAGCAGGACAGGCCTGGGCCCATCAGTTGCTGCAGCTGCTGCACGGGCTCCCAAGCCCCTGGGCAAAGACTGGGATGGGCCCCAACAGGCAAGGAGCGTGGCAGTATGCCGAGGGGGAAAGGTGGGGCGGGGTAAGGCGGGCCCGTTGGGATCTGCTCCCCAAAGACAGGCTCTAGCCCTCACTCATGGGCCTGGAATTGGGGAGTGGAGGGAGGGAAGAACACACCCAGGAAAGGCGGGTGCAGAGCCAGGTGTATGTATGTTAGTGGGGGATGTCAGGGAAGAGCAGTTCAGCTCTGTCCCTCCCATGATAGGAGATGACAGGGAGACATTAGGGGTTCTGCCACCCTTCCCCACCCCCTTCCTATGCAACCCTCAATCCCTGGAACACACCCTGCATTCTCAGCAGCCACCTCCTCACAGGAGTCACGCTCACATGGTCCCCTCTGCACAGGGCCCTCTACTGAGCCAGATCCTTCTTTCCATCCTTTGAAGCTGTGAGGTATGGAGCAGTGAGAAGTCATTCTGTAGCTGAATAGCAGCTCATTTTACAGGTGGGGAAACTGAGGTCCCAGAGAGGCTTTCTGGGCCTGGCTTGCTTTCTCTAGGAAGTTTTTTCGAGTCTGCTGCTGGGCCCTTATGGACTGGCTTGTCTGACTGTTTGTCCCACACGGTGCAACAGGGATCATGCCTTGCCTGTTTAGTCTTTTCTCCCCAGCAGAAACTAAGCATTTGAAGGCCAACAACCATATCTTTGATTTTCTCCAATTTTCCACAGTATTGGGCACAATATTTTTGCTAGGCACAACATAGATGCTCAGAAAATATCTGTTGATTAATCAGTAAACGAATGGGTCTGCCCACTCAAGACCTTGCCGCATCCCATTTCTCATTACCCTCTCTTCCCAGAAGGGAGCCCATTAAAGGGAGGCTGTGACTGGTGGTCCTCTGGCACAATCAGGAAAGAGCAGTCAGGAAAGATCGGGAATCCCTGGTTTTGAGCTGTGGGAGAGGGGTGTGATGCTGACAACCTCTTCTCTCCCCTCAGGCACCTGTATCAAGTGCAACAAAGGCATCTATGGGCAGAGCAACGCCTGCCAGGCCCTGGACAGCCTCTACCACACTCAGTGCTTTGTCTGCTGCTCCTGTGGTGAGTGCAGCCCCCGGGCCTCAAGTACTCCCCGCACACATACATGCTCACACTCACAAGTGCCTAGAGAAAGCAGAGCTTGTGCTTCCTTCTTGCTCGCAGAGGGTCCCCACCATGTATCTGGATGACCACTGCCCCACCTTCTCTCTTGCTTCCCTTCTCTGTGCTCTACCTGGCTCTCCCGCCCCAATGTTGGGTCTGCTTTTTGGAGTCAGTCCTCCCTCTCTTCAGCCGCTTGCCTCCCCTCTGTTTCTCTCTCTTTCTTCTGCCTCCTTCCTTGCCCAGCCTGGACTCCCGCCCGGCCCTCTGGCCTCTCCTTGGTGGGGTTTGGTCTTGGGCAGTCGAGTTGCCTGGGGCGACAGTGAAAGACTGGAATGTGGGAAGGGCGGGGTGGGCTGGGGGAGTGGGGAGCTGTGGGGGCGGAGAGGGGGGTTTTCTCTTGGCTGGTCAGAGTTCAGCCACCTCGCTAGAGTGCAGGCCACCGGGCCATGCCAAGCTGATGACATCACGTTCAAGGAATGCCCGCTGCTGTTAGCTCAGGAGGCCCGCCTGGAGGGGGGGTGCTCCCAGCGGCCTTAACTCCCCAGCCCTTCCCTTACCTCCCTCATTACCCCTCCCCACTGCTTACCCACTCTGATTCCTTTGCTAAACCTTTAATCTCCTATCTCTGCCTGTCTGACTCCAGCACTCAGCTCTTCTCTCACCCCACCACCCCCAGCCTCTGCCTGGTTCTCTTTAGGTTCATCTCTCTGTCTGTTCTGTGTCTAGGGCCTCTTCTGGGTATGTCTCTTTCCTTCTCTCTACCCCCTTGTGTCTCATGAGTTTCTAAGTCAGCTTTTCTAAACTACTGGGCAGAGCTGGAAGTGAAGATTTTGATGGGAATGGGGCAGAGGTGGGAAACTTGCCCACTCTCGGCCCTGGTCTCACTCTTCCCCGACCCTTGACAATTTAGACACCCTGGAGCACTTCCTGGGTCGTTGGTCACATGGGGGATAGTCCTGCCTTGTCTGCTCACAGAAGATCCTGGGCTGCCTCTGACCCTGGAGACTCTGTCCCTCTAAGCTTGGGGAAGCAGGCTAGTGCAGCAGGAAGGGGGACCGACTTTGCTCCCAAACAAAGCCCTTTGTAGCCAGCAGTAACTCCAATATGTCCTGACCTCCGTAGAGCCTTCCTGGAAGGAGACAGATAGGGCTAGGAGAGCGGGATTGCTGTGCTCAGACAAAGAGGCCCCTAGGTTGAAAGGTCCCAGAGAGCAAGGCCTGTGACAATGCGATCATCTCTGTGCACATTGTACAGCACCTTGTACTCCAGCCTGGGGTAGGCTTTGCTGTCCCAGATGGCTCCGCATACACCAGGCACTGGAGAGGAAGGCACTCGTTTAGGGCAAGGTCATAGAAAACTGTTGAGGAGGCAGGAGCTGGAGGAGCAGTGAGCAGAGGAGAGGGGAAGTTGGCAGGAATGAGACAAAGGAAATTGAAATTGCATCAGATGGGATTTTTGTGTGGGGAGGGAGGACAGACGGCGGTTTGGAGGACAAGTACTAAAATCTAGATTTAAATACATCATGCCACATTGGGGAGCACTGACCCTGGAGCAGGGAAGCCCTGTGCCTGGGCCCCGGGGTAGGCTCCAGCTCCTTCTCTGCTGCTTCTAGGGCGAACTTTGCGCTGCAAGGCTTTCTACAGCGTCAATGGCTCTGTGTACTGTGAGGAAGATTATCTGGTGAGTGAGGGGTCCTCTGGGCCTGGAATTGGCTCCCACACTGGGACCCTCTTCTTGGTGGCCCATTGGGGTTCCAGCCATCAGGTCATTCTCAGCTTGTAACACCCTCCCTTGGCCTTTTCTTGCTCACTAGTTTTCAGGGTTTCAGGAGGCAGCTGAGAAATGCTGTGTCTGTGGTCACTTGATTTTGGAGAAGGTAAGCAAAATGTCTTCAGCTAAGACTCTGTGAGGCTGAGGGGCCGAGGGGTAGAATCAGGAGCTAAATGGGTACTAAGAAAAGATGTGAGGAGGAAACCTATCACCAGATGAATCACTTTCATCCCATTCCTCCCCAGAGAAACTGTTTACAGTGGCTTCCCTCTGCCTGTGGGATCAAGTCCAGACTCCTAATCCTGCCATCCCCAGGCTTCTGGGATCTGGCCCCTCCCTAATTCTGCAGGCACAGCCAGGCCCTCTGCCTAGGAGTGTGGGGTCCTGAGTCTTAATCCCCTTTCTGCTACTGGCTGGGATCAGTTGGAACTCAGTTTTTTTCTGTAAGGAGGGATTGGATTAGATCAGTGGTTCTCAACCCTGGCAGCCTTTCAGATCTTCACGGAAGCAGTAAAAAAAATACCAGTGCCTGGGTCATCACCAGAGATTGTGATGACTACTTGTGGGGTGGGACCCAGGCATTGATGGGTTTTTAAAGTTCCCTGGGTGATCCTAATATGCAGCCGGGGCTGAGGACCACTGGCCTGGATGCTAGGACCTTTTTCGGGCTTTCTGTCTCCATTTTAAGACTCCTGGTCCCCTCAGATTATATAGCATTGTTCTGGGCGGATAGTAGGAGGTTGGATGAGGTTAGCAGGAGCAGGAGGGCACATCATGGGTAGCTGGAGAGCCAGGACTGGAGGGAGACTGATTCTCCTCCCACTCCACGAGCCAGATCCTACAGGCAATGGGGAAGTCCTATCACCCGGGCTGCTTCCGATGTATTGTTTGCAACAAGTGCCTGGACGGCATCCCCTTCACAGTGGACTTCTCCAACCAGGTGTACTGTGTCACAGACTACCACAAGTGAGTCTGCCCTTAGGGTGTGGTGTGGAACTGGGCTCAGAGATTCCCCAGCCTCAGCTCATCTCTGCCCTCTCTCTTTCAGAAATTATGCTCCTAAGTGTGCGGCCTGTGGCCAACCCATCCTCCCCTCAGAGGTCAGTATGTCTGGGTTCTCCTGCAGGGCAGCCAGTGCTGCTGCCTCTGGGGAGGGGATGGGGCCATGCTGCCTGGCCTCCTGCAGGAGGCGATGGTGCTGAGGAATGTACTCTGAGAAGATTCCCGTGTGACTCTGCTCTCGAGGTCACCACCCTGACCCTAACATCCGGGCCTAGACATGTCTGACAGCCTTGCTGGGCCCAGGCTCCTTCTCTTCTCTCCCAGTCCAGAGAAGGAGCATTTCTTTGAGGTCAAGGTCACCAGATCCCAGATGTAGGGGCTGGAAAAAGGTGGGAAGAATCCTCAGGGCTGTTGGGAAGGGGTCAGAAATGATTTATGCTGTATGTGCCGAGGGTGCGCCTAGGGAGAGAAGCCAAAAGCCAATGAGGAGCCAGACCCTGTTGGATCTCCTTGTCCCCAGCTTAGCCTACTTTATTTATGCCGCCTGCTCTTTTCCCTTCCCTCTGTGTCCCCCAAGCTAGGAGAGGTAGGTAAGGCCAGAGGCCCTGGAGAGAGGGAAGGCTCCTTGAGGGGGCATGCCCTCCTGGAGGCAGCACCAAGGAACAGGAGAGGGAAGTTCTGGTAGGATCTGCAAAGGCCATCTCAAAGCTACAGATGATTGCAGAGAGGCTCTGGAGGCCTTTGAGAGATCTTCCCATCAGGTGGGAGGGGGTTTTGTAGGGGGGAGGGTGACATTGGGGTTGTCATGCGGCTTTCACCTCCTGGGGGTCTGCACTATTTCAGGGCTGTGAGGACATTGTGAGAGTGATATCCATGGACCGAGATTATCACTTTGAGTGCTACCACTGTGAGGTGAGTGTTGGGGGGAGGCTCCTGGAGGAGGACTGGAATGGGGCCTGGGAGGAGTCAGGTCCTGGAGCTGTCGGAGTCCATATAGGGCATGGAACACCAGGAGGCTGCTCTGACCTATCTCCAGGCCCTTTCTCATCCTCCAGCCACTCTCTCTGGTCCTGGTTGTTTAGTCCTTTCTGAATGTAGCATCCCCAGAGTCAAAATTCCTAAAACTAGGGACTCCTGGTAACCACTGGAAAGGGGAGCCTGTCTCATGATTTCTGCTGTAGCAGCGACACCTGGTGTCCAGCAGAGGTAGTTTCTCAGGTTTCTCTTCTGGGAGTCCATTCCTTCCAATCCCACCCCCTTCCAGTCGTTAGGAGTCTGGTGTTGAGCAGGACAGACTCCCCAGATGTCCGAGGTGCCTGGGCTGAGGTAAACTAGGTGTCCTTCTTCCCTAGGACTGCCGGATGCAGCTGAGTGATGAGGAAGGCTGCTGCTGCTTCCCTTTGGACGGGCACTTGCTCTGCCATGGCTGTCATATGCAGCGGCTCAATGCCCGACAGCCCCCTGCCAACTATATCTGAACTGCAGTCAGCGCTGCTGCCATCACCACCATCGACAAATTCCTCTGGCCAGTGGGCCCCTCTGAGGCCAGCCGAGGCAAGGAATGCACTCTGCAGGCCTGGCAGAAGAGTCCTCTGGGGAGGGCCCCAGGGGCCAGAGACCCAAAGATCATGACATTCCAAATGGATTGTGGAGGAGGAACCTTCCAGTTGCCACAGTGGGAGTGACTGGCCTTCTTTCCGTGTGTGCAGCCTGTGCTGTAGCATATACTCAGGCACACACAGGCGAGTTCCAATACTTTCTAAAGGTCTGATTCTATGTGTTCATGAGTTTTTTCTTGGCCACTTTCTCTCTAAACTGTATTGCCAGTTTCTCAGGGACTCACGTGGGCCTGGGGAGGCTAGGTGGGTGCCTTACTTGGTTCCTCTTCTCCTCAGCTGGGGGAGGTAGTGAGTGGGTTTCTGGCTGTGGAGTTGCTGGGTGAGACATCTAGGAAGCTTCAGGCTAGCCACACACACCTGCACACTCCCAGGTTTAAGTGCACTGAGCCCTCCAGCCCAGTATATGCACACAGGGGCACATTGACACACACACACTCATACTGTCACACCCTTCTCAGGGCACACTTACACTGGGTTCCCAGCAATAGTGCACCACTCTAGACCTGCCACCTCTCAGAGGGATCCAGGATTACATCCACTGCAACTCCCAAACCCTGAGGCTCTGCGAAGCCAGTTGGGCAGACACTTTGACTTGGCTCTAGTCAGTTGTTTGGCTGACATTGCTTCACCTAAAACTAGATCTCTTAAAACCAATTTATCAAATTTGCAGCACTTTGTAAATGATAATATCACTTCCTACGTTCATGGATATCTTTTTCTATGTTATCTACTTTTCAAACACTTTTTTAAAAAGTTTAAAGTTTCTAGCAATAAATATAATTGGTACAGACATTTTGTGTATCCTTTTTTGTGTTTCTTAATTGGATATTCCTTTACAAATTAGATGCCTTGGGAAATGTAACAGAGCTCAATATGATTTTGATGCTTTGGTCTAACTTCTGCATTCCTGCTGTTAAAATGCCAATATAATGTAAACAAATGAACAGACATGTGGCATATTCAGTTGAATAACAAAGGTTATACAGATAACAGCAACAAGTGAAAGGGTGAATCTGCTAAATCCTTTTGAAATGCTGCAGATTTGATAAATATTTATTTTAGAATAATTGTTTCTAGGTGAATTGGTTTTAGGCAAATTAATCTGATAATCTTTGATCCTTAGTCTTCATTCTGTATCACGTAGAGTTTCATATTAGAAATGATGACTCTTGAGAACAGCAATTCCACATTTAGGGGTTATTCTAAGATGACTATGCCAGCCAACCTGGGAATTGCACAGAAGAGGCCTCCGAGTGAGTGTAAGAGTTCAAATTCATATCATTGAGTGCCAGAGGGGGGAAATGCACTTTTTTTGGAGGGATAAATGTTCTGAAACTAAATTGTTCTACAGCTGGGATCGCTTCTTCCAAACTATTATTAAATAAGTGAATACAAAGAAGACTCCATGACTGGGAAATTTTCTCACCAGGGTTCTCTGGGCCTGGGAAATCCAGATAAGCATGTATAGCTTTACATCCATCCCTTCTTTTACTCTTTGGGGTCTTGCCCACTCTGTCACTCTGACCCTTGTTTCTTACTCTGATTTTGGCCTCCGTCTGTTGCTGACTGGCTGATTTCCTTTCATCTGTCAGAGCCCTGGGGCTCCCCAAGACGCTGTTCTTGCCACTGGGGCTACTCTTCCTGAGGACAAACAAGTGCTAACATCTGTTAAGGACAGGCCCAGGCCGGCCCCGTGGCTTAGCAGTTAAGCGCGTGTGCGCCACTACTGGCGGCCCAGGTTCGGATCTCGGGCACGCACTGCCGCACTGCCGCTCCGGCCATGCTGAGGCCGCGTCCCACATACAGCAACTAGAAGGATGTGCAACTATGACATACAACTATCTACTAGGGCTTTGGGGGGAAAAAAAGGAGGAGGATTGGCAATAGATGTTAGCCCAGAGCTGGTCTTCCTCAGCAAAAAGGAGGGTTAGCACAGATGTTAGCTCAGGGCTGATCTTCCTCACAAAAAAAAAAAAGGACAGGCCCAGGGAAGGGAGGCCCTGGCACCCACAGCATCACTGGCAGGCTCCCAAGTGTACCGTGCATCACAAGAGTTTCCCTTCTTCCTGTTCACTGGGAGATTACTCATCCTTAATAGCTCTATTTAATATTTACAGTCGATAGTGAAAGTTCCATGGGGTGTTGCCAAGGATACAGCAAAAGGTAGACCTTGTTTGGCCAACTTGGCATCTGATTTTCATCAACAGCCACCAGGCCTGAGATGGGGAAAATGGAGGAATTATGGATCCATTTTGTGTCTCTTTAGATGAGAGTTACAGGACAGCGGTCAGGCTGTCACAGCAGACAGGCTATTTGCTCTAGCCAGCTCTGTTTGCTACGGGCCCAAATGTGTTTATGTAGAATAAGGGTGGTGGTGGTTCTTTCTCTGCCTTACTCCTGAGAGACTTGATTGTTTCCCCCTTCACCACCTGGAACTCTCAAGGCCAGGGAAACGGTAAGATTCCATTTATGATCAGGCTGGAGACTGTCCTTACTCAAGGAGGAGGCAGAAAAAGAGCTATTTCCAGGCACATAAAGCCAGGTAGAAGAGGTCCTTGAGATTCTATCTATACAGAAGAGAATAAAAAGAGGCAAAGGAGACTAATAGGACTGAGATAAAAGGACTGGAAAACACCGGTGAGCTAAAAGTGTTTTTATTTCGTTTTGTTTTTTAGAAAGACCCATACCCCAGAGCTGGTCTGGGGTCATTCGGAGCCCTAATGGTGAGGCTCCACGACAAGGACAGGTGTCTAAGAATCTCAGTCCTCTCCATCCTCTCCTCTCGCAGCAAAGGAAAATCTAAGACTAGGCTTGTGCTGTGCCACCTGCTGGTGTAGGGCCCTTGGAATAGCCACACTTGGCCTTGGTTGTGAAGGACTAAGGTTTGACCTGAGAAATGTGAGCAAACTGTTCCTGGATCGTATAGATTAGACCAGTCTAACTGTGATGGTAGGAGAGTCGTCAGAGGCAAATTCCATCCACTGTGGGTATTTCACCTAAGCTTAGAAAGGACAGTGCTGGGGCCGGCCCGGTGGCGCAAGCGGTTAAGTGCGCGCGCTTCGCTGCGGCGGCCCGGGGTTCGCTGGTTCGGATCCCGGGTGCGCACCGACGCACTGCTTGGCAACCCATGCTGTGGCGGCGTCCCATATAAAGTGGAGGAAGATGGGCACAGATGTTAGCCCAGGGCCATCTTCCTCAGCAAAAAAAGAGGAGGATAGGCGGATGTTAGCACAGGGCTGATCTCCTCACAAAAAAAAAAAAAAAAAAAAAGGGACAGTGCTGACCCATGTGAAGGGAGCCAAGGTGCTGTCCAAGCAGGGAGAGATGGGGTAGGAGGAACATCTACTCAAAGGTACTGGTAGACTTACTTGTGTCCTAGAGAATTAGAGCCCAGCGCGGTGTGAGTTTAGAGACAACCCAGTCACCTCATTTTACTGAATGAAGAAATAAAAACTCTGAGTGATGACGGGACTTACCCAAGGTCCTGAAGCTGGAAAATGACTTCCCAACCTTTGAAGACTAATCAAGAGCTTATTTCCCCTCTTCCTTCCCACCCCCCACCACAGGGACTGTCATGGACAAGTAAACTGTAACTCAGATAAGCACTTCATTATGATTGATAGATCATTAGGGGAAGTTTTAGTGGGAAAGTCAGGGAACACGAAAGACAATTATGAAAACTTTTAGTTCTTTCTAGTGCTTTTTTTGTTAATTAGAATTAGCCATTGCCAAAGTACCTCTAAAAGCACATTAGGAGAAGCAAAGGAAATACACGGCAGGAGAGTCCCTGCCCTTGAGGAGGTCATAGTCTAGCCATGGAGACAAATACACACATAAAATGCCTTGAGAACCATTACAAGCAACATGTCAACAAGTGCAAAGTGAGTGTTACAAACAAAAAAGACCTAATGCCACAGGAGACAGATGACAGGGGTGAGAGTTTGTCTGGCTTTGATTGTAGCTCAGAAAGTGACGGCCCATAGGCTAAATCCTGCCCCCAAATGCACTGAGTTTGGCCCATTGGGAGTTATTTTTTATGATATTAATTTGAATCCTAGTTGAGGGGAAAATGCCAGCTAATGAATGTAGAAAGGAGGATAGAATTGGAAAAACAGCATTTTGTGAACTTGAATACAACTACTGCTTCTGGCAAAGATTATTAATTGGTGTTAAAAACCATAGGTGAAATGGTTGGTGGTCAACTGGTCATTCATATGGTGCCAAATAACACTACCAGTTTATGGTCTTGAGGCCAGAAATGTGACTGTATGTTGGAGGGGTCAGACTGTCATCACACGTTTCTCAACCTAGTACATGTTCTAGCTGCTCCCTACCCCCAAAAGTAGTATTAGATATAACTTGTGGTTTACAGGAAATACTGGGGATAGAGAAACAAACTAAAGGACACTAGGAAGAAGCAACTGGACAAATCCAGGAGGTGAGGCATTCTGCAGGGCAAGTGGCCAGCTCTCTTTAGCAAGTCAGTATGATTTTTTAAAAAGTCAAAACTGCTAGATTAAAGAGATTTAAGGCATATAATAACAATAAAATGCCTGGTCCTTGATTCCCTATGGTTTAAACAAATTGCTATAAAAGATATTTGGGGGTCAGTTGGAAAATTTTTAACGCAGACGGGGGTTAGATGAGGTGAAAATTTATTGAGATGGAAAGTTCAAAATCATTAACAAAATGCCAGTTCCCAAACGTTATGTACAGGGTAACATATAAAAATAAAAGACATTTTATTTTTAAAATGTCTATATATTTGTGAAAAAAAAAAGATCTGAAAGGATATGCACAAAGGTGTCAGCAGTGGTGATCTCTGAGTGGTGAGGATATGTTTCATTGTTGTTGGCTTACATTCTCTGTATTTTTATACAACACATGTGTACCGCCTCTGTAATAATAACAAGCTGTTACAAATAAAATAACTGGTTGCCAACATTTACAATACAGGAGATTTCACATAAAAATCTGGATATTGTATACAAAGAGATGGGTTTCTAAGGTTTTTTGAATAATCAGAAGATCTCTCACCTCTGGGATTCCGTTCCCACATGGCAGTGATTGGTTGGACTGAGTGATGGCTGCTCCTTTGTTCAGTGTTCTCTCCTTAGTTTGTCACAGTCCCTACCACCCTTTCATCTGTGC